ATATACTGCCAGAAGTGTGGACTCTGAAACCTAGTCAGTGAACTTTTAGTGCTTTGTTTGTGACAAAAAAATCCATTGATTATCTTGTCCTTTGAATGAGCTCTTTCTTTTTTTCTTTTGTAGGAGTCTCACCCTCACCCAGGCTGGAGTGCAGTGGCTCGCTTACGGCCCCCGCAGCCTCGACCTACTGGGCTCAGGTGATCCTTCTGCCTCAGCCTTCCAAGTAGCTGGAACTACAGGCTAATTTTTTGATTTATTGTGGAGACAAGGTCTTGCCAGTTTGCCCAGACTGGTCTTGAACTCCTGGACTCAGGCAATCCTCTTGCCTCCACCTCCCAAAGTGCTGGGATTATAGGCGTGAGCTACCACGCTCGACTGAACTCTTTTTCTTTTATTCATACATTTGTTCCTGCGGATCCCTGAAAGAGCATTGAGGACTTCAGAGGTTCCTGGGTCCTCTGAGAATCACTGTTGTAAAGTATCTGCCACAGAGGGTGGTTGCTGCTTTGAAGGTTATGAGTATTTTTAACCTGGCAGAATAATTTGGCATGAACCTGTTAAGTGGCTACGTGGATTTATATTTCCACCAGCAACATAGGCGAGTTCTAGGTGCGCCAATCTACAACCACTCTTGGTGCGAAGCGGCAGTGTGATGATTTTTGCTAACCTCATTAGTGCAAGAAAGGCTTCCCTCCCTCCCTCCCTCCAAGATAGAGGTCTCAGCATCTCACCTAGGCCAGTCTCAAACTCCTGACCTCAAGGGATCCTTCTGCTTCAGCCTCTGAGTAGTTGAGGAGTAGCCTCAGGAGAAGACTCTTGGTCTTTTGTATGTTTCTATTGGATTCTATTTATCCAACTATTTCTTTTCTGTCAGTCCACCTTTCTCCTGCTCTCTCCCCATCCCCCAGTTGATTGAGATTCTTCCTTAGTTAGTTCTTTCTGTACTGTTTTATGTACTATATCTTTTTCTCTTAGTCATCACCTCAGGAACTTTAACATGCATGTTTAATAAGGTAATCAAAGCACAAGGCTCTTAGAATGCTTTAATTCAATCACCTACTTCTTGACTGGTATGCCATTGTTTCTAAAAAAAATTTGATTCTTTCTGTTCTTCCTGGTTTTTCTTTCCTTTTCTTTCTTTTCCTTTTTTTGGCCATTCAAATTAGTATTATTTTTGTATAGTTCTCTTAATGAAGACCGCAGAAGAATATGTGAAGGTAGATTCTAGAATGTTGCATATGCCTCAAGTATTACATATTTTTATATGTTAAATAATATATGAAATTTTTAACTTTGTGCTACTTACCCCCAAAACCATAATTAGATCTAATAGGATTAGAGATATTAGATTCTTGAGGAACAGGCAGTTCAGTGAGTATGTTTTATGCCAAAATCTAACTTTATTTTGATTTTAGAGGAGTCAAATTAAGGTCCTAATGTTCTAGGACACTGATTGTTGCAACTTTAACAGAGGGTACCTAGTTTAAGTTGGTTGATGTATATTTCAATGGGAAGTAAATTGAGCATCTTTTAAAAGTGTGCATTAAAAGATACATACTTTTGGGGTACTTGTTATATGTTACATGGAGTATCTTTTTAATCTCTCAGTGACTTTCTACAGGGTGTGGCATTATTATCCCACTTTTATTGGCAGAGAAAATGCAGACAACATGTAGATAGTAATTAAGTCAGGACTAGGGCTTAGTTAATTTATTCATTTAGACTTTATGTGAAAACATTCATAGTACAACATTTGTTTGGAAATATTCTCAACCTGACCACTGAGAAATGGTAAAACTTACACACTATGGAACGTCTGTGTTAGTTATCTGTGCTAGATAACAAATTACCAGGCTGGGCTCGGTGGCTCAGCCTGTAATCCCGCGCCTTTGGGAGGCTGAGGTGAGTGGATTGTCTGAGCCCGCGGGTTCGAGACCCGCCTGGCCAACTTGGCAAGACCTCATCTCTACAAAAAATTAGCTGGGCGTGGTAGCGCATGCCTGTAGTTCCAGTTGCTTGGAAGACTGAGACGGAAGGATCGCTGGAGCCCAGCAGGTTGAGGCTGCGGTGGCCGGGAGTGTGCCACTGCCCTCCAGCCTGGGCGACAGAGTGAGACTCCAACTCAAAAAACAAAAAAACCCCAAATTACCCAAAGTTAGCAGCTTAAAGTAAGAGACATTTACATGATCTTGCAGTTCATGGGGTTAGGAATCTGGGCATGGCTTAGTTGGGCCTCCTGCTCCAGAGTCACAGTTTCAGTCAAGGTATGGGATCTGCTCCTAAACTTACTTGGTTGTTGTCAGGATTCACTTCCTCTGAGTTGTTGGACTGTTGACTGAAGGCACCTATTGGTCCTCACATGGGTCTCATAAAGCATCTCACAGCATGTGGCTTGCTTCATCCAAGTGAGTGAGCGTGTGGGTGAGAGTGTACTAGCAAGGTGGAAGTCAGTGTTATGTGACCTAATAAGGAAGTCACATCCTATCTCTTCTGTTATTCCCTTTGTTAAAAGGAGCTACCAGGTCTACCTCATACTCCAAGAGAGAGGATTACGGAAAGGCATGAATGCCAGGAAGTGGGGATCACTAGGGACCATCTGAGAAAGCTGCATACTACAACTGCCAGCCCACTGTTTTTATTTGAGGTGTCAGATGTAGTGGTGTAGTCATTAGAGGACAGATCACCTCTTTCAACAAGCCTCGATTCCATAACTTTTTTTATAGGTTTTTATCTGGAAGCTCAGGGACCAAAGAACATGGTGAGAAGTGAAAAATACTTTTGTAGGAAGGGATTTGTCTGAAAGGGCCAGAAATGTGAAAGCCCTAAGGGAGTGAAGGGATGTCAAGATAAATGAGAAAAGGAAGGATGAGGGAATTATCAGCAAGGGCCATTCCCCACATGCAAATGTCCTGGAAAATGAGGGGATGATCGGTCTCATGGTAGTAATAAAAATCTTTATATCAATTCTCTTTGAATTTCCAGGGTTCTAAGAAAGTCCTTAGTTTGTTTATCCAACTCCTTTTTTATCTCCTTGGAAGAATCCTCTCCCCATTCTGCACCTTCCTCCTGGCCCCAAAGAGGCCCAGGTTACCTGAGCTCACTGCTTCTTTTCCATTGCCATTATCTGAACACTGAGTCTGAACCCTCCATCCTCAATATTGAGATTCAGGGATTCTCTCTTCACCTTCCAACAAGAAATATTTGTGGAAGAATTAGACTCTAAAGTTTGAAAGAAAAAAGATGCAAATTTCATCCAGAGGAGGCAGTCTGTAATACATTATATCCAAAATGGTCAGTAGTGTACATATAGAAAACAAGCTATCAATACATTTTTTACCCAGAGCAAAATAACAGCCCACACACTTTCATACTGTCTCCAGTGTGGTCTATCAGAAGTAGTCAAGACAACCCTAAGAATGTTAAAGCAGACACAGACAAGCATGCCATGCTGCAAAGCAACACCCTTAAAATTTAGATGATGCAGTCTTTCAGGGACTATCCTCCCCCAGGGCAAGTGGATGTTACCACTTCCTGGTTACCAATGAATACTTTAATACTTTGACCTCAAAAGTCAAGGGTTAGGCCAGACGCCGTAACCTGTAATCCAAGCACTTTGGGAGGCCGAGATTAGGGGATTGCCTGAGCCCATGTGTTTGAGAACAGCCTGGGCAACTTGGCAAAGCCTCATCTCTACAAAAAATTAGCCAGGCATGGTAGCGCGCGCCTGTCGTTCCAGCTACTTGGAAGGCTGAGGTGGAAGGATTGCCGGAGCCCAGCAGGTCAACGCTGGGGTGGGTGTGAGCATGCCACTGCATTCCAGCCTGGGCAATGGAGTGAGACTCCAACTCAAAAAACAAAAAGTCAAGTGTTAAGGTAAGCAATATAGAAGACCTAAAATATCCTTAATAGACAAAACAGACAAGTATAGAGCCCTTACCAAGAAATAATATTTGTAACATTTCTCATTTGGAGTGTCCTCTCGAACCAGGAATATATTTTATAAATAAATCCACCAAGGGGAATGGAATATAATTGACCCATTGAGGGAGGAGAGTTCTAGAATTAACCGTCCCTTGTCTATAACTCACCCAGAATTGGAACCCATCAATTCTTCCATCTTAGTAACAATAGCTAGATTTCAAGAATTACATATCAACTATAATCTTACCCATCCCTTGCACCTGTTTTGTCTGAGACATTAAGCTTGAGGTTTTCCATCTGGAGGAAGGAATTGTTGAGAGCTTGTGCATGGGACTGGGAGTGGTAATGAATTATCAGGGATCTTACTGGGGTAATGGAAATGGTCTAAAACTGTGGTGATGGGTTTAAAACTTGGTAAATTTATTTATTTAAAAATCATAGAATTGTATGCTCAAAATGAGTGAATTTTATGGTCTATAAATTATACCTTCATAGTAATTTTAAAAAGAGACAATGTGCAGACCTCCCAAAACCACATCAATTAACCTTTAGAAAGGTATTACTCTTACGTTTTCTTGTAATTTTTTTCTTACTACATCTGATACCAAACCTTTTTTAATTCTATGGCCTCTCCAAAAGCACTGTCCCTTTCCTCAGTTTCCCTATGTTTTTCATTTTTCTGGTAAAATTATATGCTTTTAAAAAAGTACTTATGAAGTATAACTAGAAAGCAAAATAAAGGAAACTCAGTTTATTCTTCAGAACTGCATGTCAGAAAGTGAGAAAGATGTTTTCTTTAATCTGTTCTTCTCTATTCTTTCACATTCCTAAACATAATTGCTTTCTGGTTTGGGAGCACCCATGTCTCCTGAGTCCAGTCCATCATACATGCTTGTGGACCATATTGGTAGAAATAAGATGCCTTCACTGCTGCTTCCCACGATGAAGCAAGTCACTGGACAAGCCAGTTTTCACTTTTTCCTTTTCCCCCAGTGAACTTAGGTATTTGAATGGTTATATTATGGGTATTAGATTTAAGAGATTAAAATCCTGCTTAATTTAATTTTTTATTGTTATAGCTCAAGTCTAATCCAAGTGATAATGAAGAAAAGGAAGCCCAGTCTCAGCTTATGAAATCTGATGAAATGCAGCGTTTGCGTTCACAAGCGCTTGATGCTTTTGAAAGTGCAGATTATATGGCTGCTATATCCTTCCTTGATAAGATTTTAGAGGTAAGTTTCTTAGTTACTGCAATTGAGTAGCCTAACGTGCTGCTTTTTATTGTAAGGCATATTTATGTAATTTGACATGTTACACACCACAGAAAATCTAGACAGGATACGATCAGATTGGTCCTTGGGCTTCCAGTTCTTTTTTTGTCTTTTGAGTTGGAGTCTCACTCTGTCTCCCAGACTGGAGTGCAGTGGCCACTTCCAGCCACCGCAGCCTCGACCTGCTGGGCTCCGGTGATCCTTCCGCCTCAGCCTTCCAAGTAGCTGGAACTACAGGCATGCACTACCACGCCCGGATAATTTTTGATTTATTGTAAAGATGAGGGCTCACCAAGTTGCCCAGGTGGGTCTCGAACCCGTGGGCTCAGGCAATCCACTCACCTCAGCTTCCCAAAGGCACGGGATTACAGGCTGAGCCACTGAGCCCAGCTAGAGCTTCCAGTTCTTAAATACAAGGTTGTGTTTATATAAATCAAATTTTGTTCTGAAGTTTTCAGTAAATGTACGAATGTGTTGTGGAGTGAGCATTACATATTTTTACACATTGCTGACTTTTCTATTTTGATTTGGTTTTGTATTTTTGGGGAAAGAAAACTTTTTGGGGGAAGAATTAATTAAATAAAAAGTAAAAATGATGTTTAGGAGGAAAGAGGAGTGTTTAGAGTGAAGAATTCCTAGAAAAGAAGGTAGATAGGCTGGGCGTGGTGGCTCAAGCCTGTCCCAGGACTTGGGGAGACTGAGGTGAGAGGATTGCCTGAGTTCAGGGGTTCGAGACCAGCCTGGGCAACTTGGTGAGACCTCATCTCTACAATAAATAAAAAAATACACTGGATGTGGTAGCGCATGCCTGTATTTCCAGCTATTGGAAGGCAAGGCGGAAAGATCACCTGAGCCCAGCAGGTTGAGACCATGGTGGCCATGAGTGTGCTACTGCATTCTAGCTTGGGCAATAGAGGGAGACTCTGACTCAAGAAAAAAAACAACAAATAAAAAAAACAAGAAGGTAGACAAAGAGTTGGTAGAATCCAGAGGATTCTACCTAGGGAAACTTAAACCTAGGGTTTCCTTGCCTCTGAAGGACATAATGACACATTATTTCAGAAGGAAGTTTACTAAAATATTTGATTGGAAGAGGTCACAGTTCGTATTTATTTATGGTTTTTACAGCACTTTGATGTATAGTTTAATTTAATTAAACCTCTGATATAGGCATTTCTTTGATAATTTTACCATGGAATTCATGTTTTACTAAATTATTTTGTTAATGTTTTATTAAGGAAGTATAAAGTTTTAATTTTTACCTTTCAGTAGTTAAACTATTTTGACCTAACTTATTGCCCATGATATTTACTTTATGTGTAAGGTTGATTTTAGTATCTTTATGCATGTGAAAAGTCAATATAATTTTTGAACAGCTCTAAAAAATATGTACAGATTCTTCCATAGGCCTTTTGGTGAGCTTTTGGGTTTATATTTGGAAGAATACTGGTGTGTTTACTAAACCTGGTTGTTAGATGTTGATAAAATAGGAGTGATGAAGCCTCAACCTCCACGCTATCATGCCTGGCTAATTTTTGATTTATTGTAGAGTTGAGGTCTTGCCAAGTTGCCCGGTCTGGTCTCAAACCCGCAGGCTCAGGCAATCCACTCACCTCGGCCTCCCAAAGTGCTGGGATTACAGGCTGAGCCACTGAACCTGGCTTACTTTTCAACTAGAAATTAAAATTACTAATTAAATACAAAAATCTGATAATAGACTATTCTTTTAAAATTTGCTTTACTGGGGACAACCCTTTAATAGTAAATGTTATGTTTTGAAATTTTCTTTTTTTAAAATTTTTCTTGCTCTTTTGAAAAACTTTTTTTCTTTCCTTATATATCTATGTATTTATTATTATTATTATTATTATTATTATTATTTGCCTAACACCAATGCTTGCAATGTTTTCTTATTTTTAATGTTTTATAATTAAATAATTGGAGGAGGTAGGAAAAGGGCCTTGTTATTACCTGTATTCGTTCCCTATTAGAATTTATATATGATAGCATTGGAGAAGCAATTTGCCATAACATTTTTGTCACATTCAAATTGTATCACACTTTTAAATGCAGTTTACGCTATTTAAGTTATCACAATAATTGAGAGTGTTTTATGTTGATAAATATATAGACAAAAACGTGTGAGATATGATAATGAATGCATAATTTATTGTTTCTTAAAGTCTAGTTCTTTTGTTTCTCAAGGTTTGTGTTTGGGATGCAGAACTACGGGAACTTCGAGCTGAATGTTTTATACAAGAAGGAGAACCTAGGAAAGCTATAAGTGACTTAAAAGCTGCATCAAAATTGAAGAATGATAATACTGAGGCGTTTTATAAAATCAGCACACTGTACTACCAGCTAGGAGACCACGAACTGTCCCTCAGGTCAGTTCTAGCGACATACATGTCTGATCTTTTTTTAATTGTTGGCAGTAAGAGAACCCCATCTTTGGAAAAAATTTTAATATTAATAAAATTAATAAATTAAAATTAATAAAATTGTAGTTAAGCCTTTTTAAAAATTGTATATTCATTTGTATATTTTGTGTTTTCCCCAAGTTTATTATATTTGCAGAAACAAAATGGAGTATTTAATGTATAGCTCTGCATAAGTCATTTTAATTTTAATTGATAAATACATGCATGGTGCAATGGCATATATAAAAGTGTATATAGCAAATTAAATCTCAGTATGTTTTGTTTGTTACATACAAAAATACTTTTATTGTGATTTCTGTATTTAGTATGGAAAGGTGCTCATTAATTACTTTAACTTGGAATATTTTCCTTTTTTTAAATACATGAGCAGTGAAGTTCGTGAATGTCTTAAACTTGACCAGGACCATAAACGGTGTTTTGCACACTATAAACAAGTAAAGAAACTTAATAAGCTGATTGAATCAGCTGAAGAACTCATCAGAGATGGCAGGTAAGAATATGGTTGTCCTGACCATCCAGTCTTTCCTTATATGTCTGGTTTTGGACACGAATGAAATATTGATGAATTGCTTGCTGTTTTACTTCTTAGCCACTGAGGATGGCATTCTAGATAGCCTTGGGCCTTAGCACAGCTACCAGAATTGTACATTTTTGGAATAAGAAAGAATATAACTAATTAGTAATAATAAATAACCATAATACTAACTGCATAGTATCTTTATCAATAGACTTATTTACACCAAATATTTATTATCTCCTATATCGGGCACTGAGCCGTATACTGAGGGCACAGAAATGAATTAGTTTTTGTTCTTAAGAAGTTAACAGCATAGTATAGTAGACAGAAATATAAACTGATTACTGAATGATATTTGATACCAAAGTGATAGAATATACAGATTATAATGAGAGTACCAGAGAGGGATAATTAATCTAATCCAGGATGGTGAAGACCAAGGGTAAAGAAGAGAAGCTTTTTGGAGAATGTGATAGATATTGAAATCCTGATCTTAAAGAATAAGTAGGCATTGGCAGAAATGAGGGGTTGTGTCTGTGTGAGTGTGCTGTGAGAGTGTTGTTTGGAAGGGATCTGTAGGAGGATTGAAGAGAGTACAGGGCATTGTACATAATACTACCTAAGAGGGGGAGGCTCCGACTCCCCTACTCCTGATGTCTTTGTAAGTTGCTGTAATGAGAATGCTTTACTCAGTTTTCCCCAACATCTTGCAAAACTGTAGAAAAATAACCACAATCAGAATATTGACATTGGTACAGTCCAGATACAGAATAATTCCATCACAACAAGGATGAGGAGTTGCCCTTTTATAGCCACTCCCACATCCTTCCTGTCCCTGTCCCTTCCTTAGCTTTTGGCAACACTAATCTGTTCTCAAGTTCTAGAGTTTTGTTATTTCAAAAATGTCATATAAATGGAATCGTACAGTATGTAAGTTTTGGGGATTGGCGTTTTATTTTTTTTAAATGGGTTCTCACTGTGTTGCCCAGGCTGGAGTACAGTGGCTATTCACAAGCACAGTCATGGCACACTGCAACCTTGAACTCCTGGTCTCAAGCGATCCTTCTGCCTCAGTTTTTTGAATAGCTTGAACTACTTGCGTGCATGACACTACAGTTGGTAGGATTGGCTTTTTAAAAGTTACAACTTTAGCCGGGCTCGGTGGCTCAGCCTGTAATCCCACACTTTGGGAGGCTGAGGTGAGTGGATTGCCTGAGCCCCGCGGCTTTGAGACTCGCCTGGGCAACTTGGCGAGACCTCATATCTACAATAAATCAAAAAATTAGCCGGGCGTAGTAGCGCGCGCCTGTAGTTCCAGCTACTTGGAAGGCTGAGGCGGAAGGATCGCCGGAGCCCAGCAGGTCGAGGCTGCGGTGGCCAGGAGTGGCCACTGCACTCCAGTCTGGGCAACAGAGTGAGACTGACTCAAAAATAAAATAAAATAAAATAAAATAAAAATAAAAAAATAAAAGTTCCAACTTTGTGGAGATTCATCCAGACTGTTGTATGTACCAATATTTCCTTCCTTTTTACTGTTAAGTAGTGTCCATGGATTGGCTGTATCACAGTTTATTTAACCATTTATCCATTGAGGGATATCTGGGCTATTTTTTGGCTGTTATGAATAATACTGCTTTTGTGTATGGATCTTTTTGTGAACATAAATCTTCATTTTTCTGGGACAAATAAATGCCAAGAATGTAATTGCTGGACTGTGTGGTAGTTGCATGTTTAGTTCAGAAAAAATTGACAAATTGATTTGCAGAGTAGCTGTACCATTTTACGACCCTACTAGTAACATGAGTGATCCTGTTTTTTCATGTCCTTGACACCATTTGGTGTTACATTTTTTAAAATTTTGGCCATTCTCATAGGTGTGTTATGATATTTCATTGTAGTTTTAATTTACATTTTCCTAATGGCTAATGATTGATCTTTTCATGTGCTTATTTGCCAGCTATATATTTTCTTTTGTACAGTGTCCTTTTATGTTTTTTGCCCGTGTTTGCTTTTTTAATTCCTGAATTGTGATGTTTTGATTAGTCCTTTAGATTTTTTAGATGCTAGTCCTTTGTCAGATATGTGGTTTACAAATATTTTTTCCTATTCTTTAGCTTATTATTTTGTCGTATATATGTATGTATGTATTTATAATTAGAGACAAGGTCTCACTATGTTGCCCAGGCTGATCTCAAACTCCTGGGTTCAAGTGATCCTCCTGCCTCGGCCTCCCAAAGTGTAGTGATTACAGTGCGAGTCACCATGTCTGACCTCATTTCATCTTCTTAGCGGTTGTGTTGTTTGGTGTATACACATGTGGAGTTGTATACACATGTGGTGGATTTACTCTTCTATCATTCTAAATTATTCCTCTCTGGTAATTTTCTTTGTTACTTTATTTATGTGACATTATAGCTTTTGTGCCTTTCCTCTGTTTACCTGGTGTAATCTTTTGCTTTCAACCTGCTTGTATTATATTTGATGTGAATTTCTTGCAAACAGCCTGTAGTTGGATCATGTTTTTCGAATGCACTTTGCTAATCTGTTTTTTTTAATTGAACTTAGACTATTTGCATTTAATATAATTATGATATGTTTGGGCTTATGTCTGCCATCTATTTTTTTGTTGTTCTTTGTTTTTCTGCTTTCTTTTCCCTATCTTTCTGTTGGTTATTTAAACTTTTTTTTAGAATTCAGTTTTTATTCACCTATAGAATCTTTGAGTATATCTCTTTGTATAGCCTTTTAAAGTATTTGGTGTAAGTATAACACAGCTTGTTACACTCTACTTGATGTCATCGTGACAGTTGAGTGGAGTAACAGGACCTTAAGTCTCTTCACCCTTTTCTATCTATAGTATAATTGTTTTAAATATTTGCTGAACCACATCATATTGTTTTATAAATTTTACTCTGACCATCAAACATAATTTAGAAAACCCAAGAGGAGGAAAAAAGCCTAGAGTATGTACCTATATTTTTGTTTATCAGGTTCTTTCTCCTTTTTTTTAATGCTCCAAGTTTCCATCTTTTATCCTTTCCTTTCTGCTTAGAGAACTTTTTGTAGGGTAGGTCTGCTGGTGAGAAATTCTTTAGTTTTCCTCTATCTGAGAGTGTCTTGATTTCCTTTTGATTCCTGGAGGAGATTTTTTTCTGAATGTAGGATTCTGACTTAACAGTTCTTTTTGTCCAGCACCTGAAAAATCTGTACCACTTCTTTCTGGCCTCTATGGTTCCTGATAAAAAATTTTGTCATTTTCATGTTTTTATCTCTAAATGTAAGGTGTCATTTTCCTCTTACTGGTTTTAAGATTTTTTTTTCATTTAATTCTGATGGGTCTTGGCATGGATTTCTTTGTGTTTATTTGGAATTCTCTTCTTGAATGTATAGGTTTATGTCCCTAAAATTTGAGAAGTTTTCAGTCATTATATCTTTAAGTACTTTTTCAGCTGTCTCGCCTCCTTCTTGGGTTATGATGATAAAGTTATCAGATCTTTTGTTATAGCCTCACAGGTCCCCAAGGGTCTGTTCATTTTTTTTAAAGTCTGTGTTGTCTTTGTTGTTCAGTTTGGTAATTTCTGTTATTCCATTTCACTGATTATTTTCTTTGTCTCTGCCATTTTTGCTGTTGAACACATTCAGTGAGGCTTTTTATTTCCACTTTTATATTTTTTAGTTTTAAAATTTTTATTTGGTTATTTTTTATATCTTTTGTTTCTTTGCTGAGACTTTCCATTCTTTGCTGAGATGTTCTATTTTTTCATTTGTTTCAAGCTTGTTTGTAATGCCTCTTTTAAAAAAAAATAGCTGCTTTAAAGTCTTTGTCAGATAAGTTTGACATTTTATCCTCTTGTAGTTAGCCTTTAGTGATTGTCTTTTCTCATTCAGTTTGAGACCTTTCTGGCTCTTGATATGATGGGTAGTTTTTAATTTAAATCTGGACTTTTCATTTTATGTTATAAGACTTTGGTTTTTATTTAAACCTTCTCTTTTGGCTAGCTTTTTCTTACATTGTTCCAGTAAAACAGGGGAGGGGTGCATGGACACCACCTTGGTACTGCTAGATGGAAGTAGAAGTTTCCTACTTGTCTGTTGTTGATATTCAAGGGGCAGGGAGTGTCTTGCCACCATTTGGTACAGGTAAGGATTTTGGCTTCTCCTACCCTCTGACACCACTGGGGCAGTGGGATAGGGACTCATTAGCAGCTGGGATTGAAAGTCCTGGCTTCCTACTTGGCCTTCTCTGGCACTACTTTGGTAGGAATATGGGGGAGCCACTACTTTGGTTAGGGGCATAGGGGAAGGGGGAACCTTGTGACAGCCTCACCAGAGAGGAAATCTAGTCTTTCTGCTTGGCATTGACTGGGGTGGGGTCATAATTTTCTCTTAATGTTTGGCTGGCATAGAGCTGTTAATATCAAAGTTTTCTGCCTTGCTAGGCTGCCCTTCTCATCATTTCCCTTGATTCTTTGGCTAGAGAAAGCCGAATTCTGAGTTTTGTTATTGTTGTTCTGTACTGTGGCATTTCTGTGTTGCTGGCATCTTCAGCTCCAAGTCAGCATAAATCAAACAAGAAGGAAACCCAGGGACTATACCACTATGTTTTCTCTCACGTCCTGAGGTCACTAGTTAGTCTACCTTCTTCTTTCCTCCTTTTAAAGTTTTCTATTTAAAAAAAGTAGATATAATGTCGAGGGTTTTTAGTTGTACTTAGCTGGAAGAAACTAGGAAAAATACATCTGTTCCACTTTCCCAGAAGCTAACTTTTGTTTTAAATGTCTTACTTAACCCTGTGTTAATACATCAGCATTTACATGTGACAGCTTCAGCTCTTTGGGAGTAATGTGCCACCACAGTATATAAATATATCTTTTAGTTTGCCATTTTTGAGGAAAGTAATTTAGTATATAACATGACTAGAACTTTTCACCAGTTTAAAGAAAATGCTGAAATAGCTTTTATTGTTCTTAGAAAGCTTATAAAGTTGAGAATTTAATCAGATTCCTTGTGTATGAACTGCATTGTACTTAGTGGTGAATACTGACATTTATTATATAAAATGGCATGTAATAGGCTCCATTATTTTGAAAGTGTGTAGTAACCAAGAAATAAAATTTGATCTCTGTATTGTTGAAAGTGCTCAGACTTTAACAAGGTGTTCTATTCAGTTGCAAAATCATGAGCTTTTTTCAACAACGAAATTTATCATTGATACTCACAAGTGTGATTTGGTTTGTCCATCGGCATCTCATGTGTTTAAGTGTTTTATCTCCGAACTCTTGATTATGGAGTGTACCTTCCATGTTTCTCTAGATTGGTAAGGAAAAAGTAATGATGATAGCGTGTGCTCACCTGGAATGAATTGATTAAGCAACACATAGTGAAGAGGAGAGGGGCCTTTCTACAGCTCTGGATATAGAATCTTTGTTCCTTATCATGATTTGCTTATTTCATAGATACACAGATGCGACCAGCAAATATGAATCTGTCATGAAAACAGAGCCAAACGTTGTTGAATATACAATTCGTTCAAAAGAAAGGATTTGCCACTGCTTTTCTAAGGTAACAGTTGATTTGTTTCTAGAAATGTAAAAGCTCAACATATGAAATAACAGCCATAAATCCTTTTCTTACGTTTACTCTTAGGACGAGAAGCCTGTTGAAGCTATTAGAATATGTTCTGAAGTTTTACAGATGGAACCTGACAATGTGAATGCTCTGAAAGATCGAGCAGAGGCCTATTTAATAGAAGAAATGTATGATGAAGGTAAATCTTTAAAGAATTTGATTTGCAGTATCTAAAAGTTGATTATATGAAATTATCACATGTTAAGCTTCCTTTTTTTTTTTTTTCGAGTTGGAGTCTCATTCTGTTGCCCAGACTGGAGTGCAGTGGCTGCTCCCGGCCACCACAGCCTCGACCTGCTGGGCTCCCGTGATCCTTCCGCCTCAGCCTTCCAAGTAGCTGGAACTATAGGGGCACACTACCTCACCCGGCTAATTTTTTTATTTATTGTAGAGATGAGGTCTCACCAAGTTGCCCAGGCGGGTCTCGAACCCGTGGGCTCAGGCAATCCACTCACCTCAGCTTCCCAAGGTGCGGGATTACAGGCTGAGCCACTGAGCCTGGCTCCTTTTTTTTTTTGAGTTAGAATCTCACTCTGTCGCCCAGGCTGGAGTGCAGTGGCATGCTCACAGCCATCCCAGCGTCAACCTGCTGGGCTCAGGTGATCCCTCTGCCTCAGCCTTCCAAGTAGCCAGAACTACAGGCATGCACTACCATGCCTGGCTAATTTTTTGATATATAGTTGCCCAGGTTGGTCTCGAACCCGTGGGCTCAGGCAGTCCTCTTGCCTCTACCTCCCAAAGTGCTGGGATTCCAAGCTTGAGCCACTGCGCCTGGCCAAGCTTCCTTTTACTTGGAACAAGTTTACCAGAGTACCTAGAAATGTTGACTGTTTTAGAAAAACAAATTTTTCAAGTCTTAGATAACTTGAAAATTATTCTTCCCTAGTGGAACTTAAAAGATATACCATGTGAGGAAAGAGTTCTGCTATCGAAACTAGTTCAGTGGAATGTAAAAATAAAAATTTTGGCTTTCTTTGTTGTAGACATGTTAGGAAAGACAAATAACACAATAGAAAATTTAAATTATACATTTCATATCATCCAGATGTAATCACTCTTCATTTAGAATTTCTGTCTTTCCAGACTTTTTTCTGTCCACATATATTACTCTATATTTTATGCATACATACATATTCTGTGCATAGACCCAGTATTTAAAATACATATATACAGAAAACATACATATATATCATATATGCTTGATATAAAATGATCTTCTCTGATCCCCAAGCTGTTTAATAACATTAGGATAACTGCTACCCTGCTTTGTTCAGTTGAAGTAACAGGAGATTACTGCTAGGTGTTGTGAGACCTTTAATAAAGACAGTGCCCTGTTTCTGGAAGATAACTGAGTCATATACAGTTATATACTTTTTTTGAATCCTTTTTTATGTATTGTCTTCTACCTTTTTTCATGTGATACTATGTTATGAATATTTAAATGAGTTTTTAAAAAATGAGCCTTATAAGTCCTTACAGCATAATTTTTGTTTCAGATTCTGATAAAGAAATGCATTTTAAATCAAAACCAGGAAGACTAGTTTTTCTGTTACAGTTAAATGAAGGGGTTGCATGGTGAAATTTGGTTTGTGGTATTCATTTTAAAGGCAAATAGTCACCTTTTCCCTATTTTCCCCAATCTGAAAAGAATCTTGCTCCTAAAAAGTTTCCAAGGACTACTCTGGTTAATACTGTTTGAGGGACATTTTGTGGGGAGTCCAGATCTTAACACCTGAGTGAGGCTTGAAATGTATGTAACCAAAACAATAAGTTTTAATATTCATAAGAATGCTTCACCAAGGCATAGAGGATCTCTCTAGCATACTTGTTCTTTTCCCTTTTGAGCTACTGTGTCTACTTAGCAAGATGGCTTAGCTTTAGGATTTTGAATTCCAGTTAGTTTTTGGAACTTCTCATCAAAGGTACTTTTGTCACTGTATGTAAACCCTCAGCTCTAACTGTGAAATTAGAGACACTGCAGAAGAATATTTTAAAAGCTTAGCTGTTAAGAAAAGGTTTAAATCTTGTTAGCTGCTAAATATAATTTGAAAGATGCTTTTGTAACTTGAATGTTAAACTGATTTGCTTTTTGGGGAAACTTGATGGCTTAATTCTTGAAGAAAAAAGATGCTTACTAATTTAATATTATGGATCTGTTTTTTTTCTTTAAACATTTGTTTTAAATAGGAGTTTTTTTTTTTGTGGAGGTTGATTATACATTGAGGGGTCTTTCTGAACTGGTTTTACAGAGTAGAAGGGTTGTTTGTCATAAGTATGGAAATTAAGTGAGTGGCCGAGTGTGGTGGCTCACGCCTGTAATACCAGCACTGTGGGAGACAGAAGTGAGAGGATTGCCTGAGCTCACGGGTTCGAGACCAGCCTGGGCAACAGGTGAGACCTTGTCTCTACAATAAATAAAAAATTAGCTGGATGTAGTGGCACGTGCCTGTAGTTCCAGCTACTTGGAAGGCTGAAGCAGAAGGATCACCTTAACCCAGCAGGTCGAGGCTGCATGGCCATGAGCATGCCATTGCACTCCAGCCTAGGTGACAGAGTGAGACTTCGACTCAAAAAAAAAAAAAAAAAATTGAGTAATCTGGGAGTGGGAGCAGGAGTGGAAAAGATATAGAGAGTTGAATGGGTTGCCAATGTCTCTAAATTTGCAAAAGAAATAAAAGTCCGCCTATATAGCTGAAACCGACAAATATTACCCAACTTGTTTGGATTTGAATCAGAGATTTAGTAAATAATGTGAGTAATAGTCGTATTTAACTAGGCTAAATAATGGTATGTCTTTAGTTGAAATCCTGAGTTAAAATATGAAGACTTTCCGTATTGTTCTGTTTTACCCTTTTTAAAATCAGCAATTTAAAGTAATGATAGGCATACAAGGAATAAAGAATCAAGAAAAATGAAAGGAAATTCTTTAAATCTCGACATGCTTTTTAATAGCTTTTGAGAGGAACAAACTAACATTGAAGTAATACTAAAATATTGGCAAAGTTTCTTTGACTATAGAGATGACTCAAGTGTTCTTATAATAAGTTATACTTGTTAGCACTTAAGCTGTGTAAGAGCAGGGATCTGTGTCTGTTTTTATTAACTGATGCATTTCTGGTATGTCTACCTGGCACATAACAGGCAGTCATATACTTGTTGAATTAATGAATGAATGTAGTTAATTTATGATAAAGTCATAATTGAAAGAATATGGAATTTAGAATTAATCCTGCCTTTGAGTCAGCATTTTTTTTTTTTTTTGGGAGTCTCACTCTGTCACTCAGACTGGAGTACAGTGGCACACTCATGGCCACTCCAGTGTTGACCTGCTGGGCTCAGTCGATCCTTCTGCCTCAGCCTTCTAAGTATACACATAGCATAAAATTTGCCATCTTAACCATTTTTAAATGTACAGTTTAGTAGAGTTAATTATATTCACATTGCTGTGAAAAAGATCTTTAAAATGTTTTTATCTTGCAAATCTAATCTTTACACCCATTAAATGACAGCCCCCCCCAACTCCTGGTAACTACCATTCTACTTTCTGTTTCTATGAATTTGACTAGGCTGGGTACCTCATATAATTGGAATGATATGGTATTTGCCTCATTGTGGCTGGCTTATTACACTTAGCATAATGTCCACAAGGTTCATCCATGTTGGGCATGTGGTACGATTTCCTTTTTAAGGCTGCATAATATTCCTTTGTATGTATATGCCACATTTTGTTTATTCATTTCTCCATTAGTGAATATTTCTGTTGTTTCAACCTCTTATCTGTTGTGGCTGGTGTTGCTGTGGACACGGATATGGAAATCTCTATTTGGACCCTGCTTTGGATTCTTTTGAATATATACCTAACAGTGGGATTGCAGAATTGTGTGGTAGTTATATTTTTAAGTTTTTGAGGAACCTCCTTACTGTTCTTTGTAGTTGCTATACCATTTTACAATCCTATTAATATTGTACAAAAGTTCTAATTCTTCTGCATTCTTGTCAACACTTTTTATTTTGTTTTTTTAATAGTAGCCCTCTTAATGGATGTCAAGCGTCATCTTATGTGGTTTTGATTTGTACTTTCCTAATGATTAGTGATGTTGAATATCTTTTCATACAATGCTTGTTGTGTTTGTATATCTTCTTTGGAGTGTGCCATCTCTTTTTACTATATGGTTTCAATAAAGTTACTTAACCTGTAATGCTTTACTTTCCCTATCTGTAAAACAGGAATAAGAATAGTACATTTCTCATATAATTGTTGTGACCACTGTTATACTCCCTTTGGTGCCAACCTTGTGAATCTATGAGCTTAATTTATAGGCAAGAAAATAAGAAACAGTTAAAATAATCAAACAATATTATTCAGCAGAAAAAGGTTTGTTAAAAGGCTGATTTCCAAATTATGAAAAACTTAAAGAGTTGGAAGTAAAAAAGTACTACAGGCGCATAGCTGGAACAGAAACCCAGAAGGCTGTGGAAGGGTCTTTTGCCCTTCCCAAAAATAATAGACACATTTGACTGTGGCAGAGGGTAGGTTTGGATAGAGGAAGTGAGTCATAGATTGTTTTTATTTGTCTTTTTGTGAATTGACAAGGCTGTGATTACCCATGACTGACAAGTTTGACCTCAAGTAATGAAAAGTCTTCTTTAAAAGACTAAAAAAATAAAAATTCCAATAGTTTTTCATTGTCTTAAATAGAAACACACTAAGTACATGGAACAAGGCCTATATTTGTGTCTACCTACTCCAGTGTGATAAAGTATAGCACAAGATTTAAAAGGTTAAAATTCAACAGGAACTGAACTTTTCTTTGCATTTTACTGTTAGCACCATTACCTCTTTTCCCCTATAGAAATGTTGGGAGCAGATGTAGATGTATAGGGCACGTTAGTGTATCAGATTCAGTTAGAGTACAGGCCAAATGATGTTCCCTGTGTATGGAATTGAACATAGTATGTCTCTTCACCATTAAAATATAATGGTAGTCTTGCCCTCAGATTTGAATGTTAGAATGTGATCTACTGTAGGGAGTTGTTGCATCAATGAGAGAACTTTAAGTTGCTTAGCTCTCTTTAGTGTCAGAAATGTCCCACAGCTGAAATGAAGCAGGAACTCTTCCACAGAGAGAGATGGGACAT